TTTACAAAGTTCTGTCCTAAAGGACACTCTCCAGAATCTGCCGGGCACGGTGGCTCACACCTGTAATCCCAGCACTTTGGGAGGCTAAGGTGGGTGTATCACTTGAATCCAGGAGTTCAAGACCAGCCTGGGCTACATAGTGAGACCCCCATCTCTACTAAAAATACAGAAGTTAGCCAGGCATGGTGGCGCATGCCTATAATCCCAGCTACTTGGGAGGCTGAGGCATGAGAATTGCTTGAACATGGGAGGCAGAGGTTGCAGTGAGCCGAGACTGCACCACTGCACCCCAGCCTGGGTGACAGAGTAAGACTGTCTCAAAAAAAAAAGCATTCTCCAAAATGGACACTCATAGGATTGAAGGAGGGGTTTTGTCCTAGTTTCTGGATTGAAGGAGGGGTTTTGTCCTAGTTTCTGAGCCCAGCTTGGACAGAAAACAAAGGGATGGGTCCTTGGGTGCATAGACTCCCAGGGGGCTAGATAAGGAAGGAGGGTCTCAAAGTGTGTCTGCCCCTGGCTTTCCAGATGAGGAAATAAACACCAGCAAAGATGAAATTTGTCCTGGTACGGTGTAGTGGCTCATGCCTGTAACCCCAACATTTTGGGCGGCTGAACTGAGAGGACTGCTTGAGGCCAGGAGTTTGAGACCAGCCTGAGCAACCTAGTGAGACCCTGCCCCTACAAAAAATTAAAAATAAAAAATAGCTGGGTGTAGGGGCACATGCCTGTAGTCCCAGCTACTAGGGAGGCTGAGGTGGGGGAATTGCTTGAGCCCAGGAATTGGAGGCCGCAGTAAGCTATGTTGGCTTCACTGCACTCCAGCTTGGGTGAAAAAGCAAGACCCCGTCTCAAAAAATAAAATAAAAAAAGTTTGTTAGGCCAGGCGCGGTGGCTCACGCCCGTAATCCCAGCAGTTTGGGAGGCCGAGGTGGGCAGATCACCTGAGGTCGGGAGCTCGAGACCAGCCTGACCAACATGGAGAAACCCTGTCTCTACTGAAAATACAAAAAATTAGCCGGGCATGGTGGCGTGCACCTGTAGTCCCAGCTACTCAGGAGGCTGAGGCAGGAGAATCACTTGAACCCGGGAGGTGAAGGTTGCAGTGAGCCGAGATCGCACCATTGCACTCCAGCCTGGGCAACAGAGTGAGACTCTGTCTCAAAAAAAAAAAAAAAAAAAAAAAAGAAAAGAAAAAAAAGTTTGTCCAGGGCTTCCAGAGAGTCAGGGCCGAGTGGTTCTCCCCTCCCCAGCCCAGCGACCCCATGCTCTGGACTGTTTCTCATGGAAAGGCTGGAGCAGGCTTTGTTTAACACCGATAAGTTCATCCCTTCATTCAGCCGCCTAACCCTTTGCACCTATGCTGGGACAGATACTGGGACAGGACACATGGATGAATCAGGCAGGGTGCCCGCAGCTTACTGGGAGAGATAAGGAAAGTAAACAAACACCACGAGACAATGTAAAGTGGAAAGTCCTTCTTGCCCCAAGAGCGGTGCAAAGTGCTGGGGAGCTCCCAGGAAACCAAGACGATTTCAGAGTGTGGCAGAATGACTGTTGGATCACGAAAGGAAGGATCTTAGAGGCTAGCAGCCTGCGGGGCGTGGCCGGGCCCTTCTTGCTTGAGCCCTAAGGCGAGACATTAGGAGCATCGAGCCAAGCAGCCCCTCTCCTCCCCGCTCCCATGAAGCCCACCTTCAAACCTTTGGTGTTTAGGGAGGAGGAGGGGTCTTGACATTTGTTGTATGTGTGTCAGGTGCTGCTATGACTATGACAGTGAGATACGGATGATCTCACTGAAAACTCAGTGAACCTCAGAAATAATAGGACCTATTAGCCAGGCGCAGTGGCTCGTGCCTGTAATCCCAGCACTTTGGGAGGCCGAGGTGGGCAGATCACTTGCAGCCAGGAATTCAAGACCAGCCTGGGCAACGTGGCGAAACCCTGTCTCTACTAAAAATACAAAAATTAGCCAGGCATGGTGGCAGGCGCCCGTAGTCCCAGCTACTTGGGAGGCTGAGGCACAACAGTTGCTTGAACTGGGAGGTGAAGGTTGCAGTGAGCTGAGATCGTGCCATTGCACTCCAGCATGGGTGACAGAGCAAGACTCTTTTAAAAAAAGAAAACCAAGAAAAAACAAATAGGACCTGTCATTCCCATCTTCACAAGCTTCGCAAGCTTACGCTCTGGGAGGCTGGAGACTTTGCCAAGCCCACACAGTTAGGGTGTCCTAGGGCTTGACTGAAACCTCACTCTGTCTGATTCCGAACCTGAGGTCTTTCCAGCAACTTGTACAATAGCCGGAGACCAGTGTGTCTGGGTGAGGACCCCGGGTGACATCATGCCTCAACTGTCATCAGAAATTTCTTCTGTAGGCTGGGTGTGGTGGCTCACACCTATAATCCCAGCACTTTGGGAGGCTGAGGCGGGCAGATCACCTGAGGTCAGGAGTTCGAGACCAGCCTAGCCAACATGGTGAAACCCTGTCTCCACTAAAAATACAAAATTTGGCAGGCGCCTGTAATCCCAGCTACTTGGTGCCCACAGCTTAGCGGGACAGATAAGGGAAGTAAACAAACAACATGAAACAATACAAATTGGAAAGCCCTTCTTGCCCCAGGAGCGGTGCAAGAGGCTGAGGCAGGAGAATCTTTTTTTTTTTTTTTTTGAGACGGAGTCTCGCTCTGTCGCCCAGGCTGGAGTGCAGTGGCTGGATCTCAGCTCACTGCAAGCTCTGCCTCCCGGGTTTACGCCATTCGGCAGGAGAATCTTTTAAAACCCAGGAGATGGAGGTTGCAGTGAGCCAAGATCACGCCACCGCACTCCAGCATGGGCGACATGAACGAGAAACTTCATATTAAAAAACAAAACAAAGGCTGGGCGCGGTGGCTCAAGCCTGTAATCCCAGCACTTTTGGAGGCCGAGACGGGCAGATCATGAGGTCAGGAGATCGAGACCATCCTGGCTAACACGGTGAAACCCCGTCTCTACTAAAATACAAAAAAAATTAGCCAGGCGTGGTGGCGGGCGCCTGTAGTCCCACCTACTCGGGAGGCTGAGGCAGGAGAATGGCGTAAACCAGGGAGGCGGAGCTTGCAGTGAGCTGAGATCCGGCCACTGCACTCCAGCCTGGGTGACAGAGCGAGACTCCGTCTCAAAAAAAACCCCAAAAACACAACAAAACAAAACAAAACAAAACACTCCCCCCCACACACAATTTGGAGTCGGGGAACTGTGGACTTCCAGCCAGCCACAGCTCTGCTTCTTTTACGCTCTGTGAACCTGAATACATCACTTGCCTTCTGAGCCTCAGTTGCTCATCCATAAAATGGTGGTAATAAAACCTATCTCCCAGGGTTGCTAGGAAGCCTTAAATAAGGTGATTTACGAAAGTGCCTGGCATGTAGGTAAATGGAAACCAGAAAACACACCCTCTCCCTGCTTGGGTGAAATCCAGCGGGGCGAGGACAGAGAATACTGCGTGTGGTCTCTCCGGGGCTTTGCATTCCCAGCTCAGTGCAGCCTTTGATCCTGCAGCAGAACCTGAGCTGGATAAGGTCCCAACACAGGGCTGATGGATCCAAGTCCTCTCTGCCTCTGCTGCCCTGCCATGGGGAGTGGGGTGTTCCCAAATGAATGTGACCTCCTCAAGGGTACATCATGTATTGGACACCAACTTAGCGGCAACACCCTTGAATACCGGTTGTCTCCATACCAACCATGAAAGGAAAGGTAGGACTATTGGCCTCGTTTTTTTTTTTAGATGGAGTCTCGCTCTGTCGCCCAGGCTGGAGTGCAGTGGCGTAATCTCCGCTCACTGCAATCTTCACCTCCTGGGTTCACGCCATTCTCCTGCCTCAGCCTCCCGAGTAGCTGGGACTACAGGTGCCCGCCACCACACTCAGCTATTTTTTTGTATTTTTAGTGGACACAGGGTTTCACCGTGTTAGCCAGGAGGGTCTCGATCTCCTGACCTCGTGATCCGCCCACCTTGGCCTCCCCAAGTGCTAGGATTATAGGCCTGAGCCACCGTGGCTTCGTTTTTATAGATAAGGAAGCAGGTTCAGAGAGGGTAGGCAACTAGCCTGAAGTCACACAGCCAGCAAGGGGCAGAGATGGGGTGGAGGAACTAGCTCTGGGCAACTCTAAGTCCAGAGTTCCTTCCACTAGATGGCATGGCCTCTCTGGATCCCCTCTGCCCAATTCTCCATGGTGGGCACCTACTGGATATTCAGGAAGGACTTCAATGAAAGGCTGGTGGAGACCCATGCGGGATCCTCAGTTTCTCCATTTACAAAGTGATGTAGTTGGCCCCGCTAGTGTCTAATGGCCCTTTTTACCCTGGCATTCAAGGCACCCGACTATGCTAATGGGATGTAAAATGGGCTTTGAACTGTACCCCAAATCTCAGCCTACCCTAGTGCTACTGAGGGGTGACCTCTGCTGTGCCCAGCTTCACAGTGGAAAGCACCCTTTGGGACACATTTCCCGAGACCCCTTGGAGGTCAGGAGCTGTTCAGGAGTCCTGGTGCTGGGGGCCTGGTCTCCCCCTAAAAGGCTGTCAGGATAGGGCATGGTGGCTCATGCCTGTAATCCCAGCACTTTGGGAGACCAAGGTGGACAGATCACTTGAGGTCAGGAGTTTGAGACCAGCCTGGCCAACATGGCGAAACCCTGTCTCTACTGAAAATACAAAAATTAGATGGGCATGGTGGTGGGTGCCTGCAGTCCCAGCTACTTGGGAGGCTGAGGCAGGAGAATGGCTTGAACCCAGGAGGCGGAAGTTGCGGTGAGCCGAGATGGCACCACTGCACTCTAACTTGGGCAACAGAGCAAGACTATGTCTCAAAAAAAAAAAAAAAAAAAAAGTTGGCAGAACTCTGCTAGTGCTGGCCTTGAGGGCCCTGGGGGTTTTCCTGGGCAGCCACCATGTAGAACGGTCTGGCAGGAGGGTTGGAGGGGGCGGTCCCTCCCGGCTGGGGAGGCTGGTGGTGCCCACTCACACTGGATATACCAGGCCCTCCAGATGGCGTTGTTCAGGCGGATCTTGTCCCTGCAGAGCAGCTTGAGGCCTTTGAAATTCTTCCACTTGGGAGACACCAGCTTGCCACTGTCAAAGGGGAGAGGATTGAGGTTAGGGAGATCCAGTGCTGCCGCAGAGGCTGGTCCCCACATTCCCCATGCACTTGGCATCCGTCTATGGTTGGCATTCGAGGGGACCCTCCAAATCTGGCCCCCCCAACCCAATCTGCCTGAAATTCCTACCTGGAGAGTCAGACCTTCAGAATCCCCTTCCAGACTCCCCCCAGTGGTCCCTGTGTTCCCTGGGGAGACCTGTTTGTCAATCTACTACAGAACAAAAGCCATGCTGAAACCTGTGGATCAGCTCAGCCCTGGGAACAGCGATGTCCAATGGCCTCACAGGTGTGTCTTGGAGGCTGCCTGGGGACAGTGCTCAAGCCCATTTCTTACTTAAGAGAATAAGAAATGACCTTCCTGGGCTGGGCGTGGTGGCTCACACCTGTCATCCCAGAACTTTGGGAGGGCAAGGCGGGTGGATCGCCTGAGGTCAGGAGTTCGGGACCAGCCTAGTCTGACATAGTGAAACCCTGTCTCTACTAAAAATACAAAATTAGCTGGGTGTGGTGGCGCACACCTGTAATCCCAGCTACTCAGGAGGCTGAGGCAGGAGAATTGCTTGAGCCTGGGAGGCGGAGGTTGCAGTGAGTTGTGATTGCACCACCGCACTCCAGCCTGGGCAACAAGAGTGAAACTCTGTCTCAAAAAAAAAAAAAAAAGAACTTCTTGAAAGTCAGGGAGGAAAGGGGCAGGTCCAAGGTCACTCAGGCCTCCTTAGGTCCAGGAGAGGCAAAGGGGATGGCCGTGGTTTGCCTGGTAGACAGGGAGCCTCTGTGTTTTGTTTTGTTTTGTTTTGAGGACGGAGTCTCAGTCTGTCATCCAGGCTGGAGTGCAGTGGTGGGATCTCAGCTCACTGCCACCTCCATCTCCCAGATTCAAACAATTCTCGTGCCTCAGCCTCCTGAGTAGCTGGGATTACAGGTGTGTGCCACCATGTTCGGCTAATTTTTTTGGGTATTTTTAGTAAAGATGGGGTTTCACTGTGTTGGCCAGGTTGGTCTCAAACTCCTGACCTCAAGTGATCTGCCCACTTTGGCCTCCCAAAGTGCTGGGATTACAGACGTGAGCCACCGTGCCTGGTCGAGGGTGCCTCTTTATAGAGAGTGGCAGTCACTGCCTTCATCGTACAGTCCTTTTGGTGTCTGCCATGCCCAGAATCCCAGGATGGCAACCTGGACTCAGCGAGAACGTGTGCTCTTCTCAGGGCTCTGCAGAAGACAATGAACCAGCAGATCCCAAAGGAAGACAGCCAGGACTGGGGAATGGTATCCATGGAGACAGAGCACCCTCACTCTAACCTTAGCTGTCCATCAGATCCACAGGGTGGGCTGGGCGCGGTAGCTCACGGCTGTAATCCCACCACTTCGGGAGGCCAAGGCGGGAGGATTGCTTGAGCCCAGGAGTTTGAGACTAGCCTGGGCAGCATAGCAAGACCCCATCTCTAAAAAAATTTTTTTTAAATTAGCCGGGGGTGGCGGCATGCGCCTGTAGTCCTCGCTACTAGGGAGGCAGAGGTCGGAGGATCTCTTCAGCCCAGGAGTTTGAGGCTACAGTGAGCTATGATCACGCCACTGCACTCCAGCCTGGGCAACAGAGCAAGATCCCGTCTTGAAGGAAAAAAAAAAATCCACTGGATGGAAGAGTTTACACTGGTGAGGGTCCTGCTAGGCACAGGCCAAGTCTGCTGCCTCCAGGAAGCTGACCCAGGAGGCCAAGACATTCAGGATCTTAGACCCCCTGCCAGTCTTCCCCTCCCTCTCTCCTGTCCATCCACAAGCCAGGGTTGTGTACCAGTGCCCTCTAGCACACCTTTTTCTCCCTTGCTCAGATGAGAAGGCTGAGGCCCCAAGTCTCAGCCCATTTTTTTTTTGTGTGTGAGATGGAGCCTCATTCTGCCGCCCAGGCTGGAGTGCTGTGGCATGATCTTGGCTTGCTGCAACTTCCATGTCCCAGATTCAAGCGATTCTAATGCCTCAGCCTCCTGAGTAGCTGGGATTATAGACATATGCCACGATGCCTGGCTCATTTTTCTATTTTTAGTAGAGACAAGGGTTTCACCATGTTGGCCTGGTTGGTTTCGAACTCCTGACCTCAAGTGCCCCACCCACCTTGGCCTCCCAAAGTGCTGGGATGACAGGCGTGAGCCACCGTGCCTGGCTCCCAAGGTTTAGTCTTTCAGAAAACCATGCCTGCTTCCTCCAGGGATCTTTCCTGCATTCTGGGGGTGAAACATGAGTGGGAGCCAGTCTAACTCTGCAGCCTCTTTCCCCTTGAGTGCATTGGTCATTGGGCCCTCTCTCCTCCCTGGTCTCCAAGCTCCTGTGTTTGCTTTGGGGTGGGGGTGGGGTACTGCCCCCTCCCCACCAGGGACAACAGGCCTCATTACCCAAATAAGATACACAGCCCAGCTCCCTGGGCCACTGGCTGGCCCCCTCCCTCCGGGAATTAGATAAACACCATCTGTTTGGTAGGAAGACATGGGGGCGGGGGGTGGGGGGAGACTCTGCTACCTCCTGGGCCAGCTTCTTCTGTGGCACCTGGTCGGGGACTCCTGAGTCTGTGGTCCCTGTCAGTATCCCAGCAACCTCCCAGCCCATTCTGATCACCGCGTGTTGCACCCTCGACCTGCCTGCCTTCCCTCCCCCTTCCTTGCTAAGGTTATGACGTTCATGGCCCAGGCAGGGTTAGAGGAGATGTGACAGTGACAATATCCAAGTCCAGGAGGAAGAAAAGGAGTTGGGGCTATGAGAGAAGAGACTCGGCCTGGAGCAAGAGCCTAAAGCTAGGGTTCAAGAACTTTTTACGACTGGCTGGATATGGCTCACACCTGTAATCCCAGCACTTTGGAAGGCCGAGGCAGGAGGACTGTAGGAGGCCAGGAGTTTGAGATCAGCCTGGGCAACATAGTGAGACCCTGTTTCTACAGTTTAAAAGTTAGCTGGGGCCAGGTGCAGTGGCTCACGCCTATAATTCCCCCAGCAGTTTGGGAGGCTGAGGGGGGTGGGTCACCTGAGTTCAGGAGTTCGAGATCAGCCTAGCCAACATGGTGAAACTCCATCTCTACTAAAAATACAAAAAAATCAGCCAGGCATGGTGGTGGCAGGCAGTTGTAATCCCAGCTACTCGGGAGGCTGAGGCAAGAAGAACTGCTTGAACCCAGGAGGTGGAGGTTGCAGTGAGCCAAGATAATGCCATTGAACTCCAGCCTGGGCAACAGAGTGAGACTCCATCTCAAAAAAAAAAAGAAAAGAAAAGAAAAAAAAAGTTAGCTGGGCATGGTGGTGCACACGTCTAGTCCCAGCTACTCAGGAGGCTGCAGTGGGAAGATCACTTGAGACCAGGAGTTCAAGGTTGAAGTGAGCTGTAATCACGCCACTGCACTCCCGCCTGGGCAACAGAGTGAGAACCCGACTCATAAAAAACAAACAACTTCTTATGACCAATAGAAAAGTCTGACGGGGAGCAGTGGCTCAGGTCTGTAATCTCAGCACTTTGGGAGGCTGAGGGGAGAGGATTGCCTGAACCCAGGAGTTCAGGACCAGCTGGGCAACACAGTGAGACCTCATCTCTATTTAAAACTATTAAAAGGGCCGGGCGCGGTGGAACTTTGGGAGGCCGAGGAGGGCGAATCACCTGAGGTGAGGAGTTCAAGACCAGCCTGGCTAACATGGAGAAACCCTGTCTCTACTAAAAATACAAAAATTAGCCTGGTGGCACATGCTTATAATCCCAACTACTTGGAAGGCTGAGGCAGGAGAACCACTTGAACCCGGGGGGGCAGAGGTTGCAGTGAGCCGAGATCACACCACTGCACTCCAGCCTGGGCATCACAGCGAGACTCTGTCTCAACAACAAACAAACAGCAACAACAACAAAAAAGACTATTAAAAGAAGAAAAGGGCTGGGCCTGGTGGCTCACGCCTGTAATCCCAGCACTTTGGGAGGCCGAGACGGGTGGATCACAAGGTCAGGAGTTCAAGACCAGCCTGGCCAACATGGTGAAACCCCATCTCTACCAAAAAACAAACAAACAAACAAACAAAATTAGCCAGGCGTGGTGGTGGGCGCCTGTAATCCCAGCTGCTCGGGAGGCTGAGGCAGGGAATTGCTTGAACCCGTGGGGTGGAGGTTGCAGTGAGCTCAGATAGCACCACTGCACTCCAGCCTGGGCGACAGAGCGAGACTCCGTCTCAAAAAAAAAAAAAGAAAAAAAAAGAAAGAAAAAAGTAGGACACAATGGCTCATACCTGTAATCCCAGCACTTTGGGAGGCCGAGGTGGGCAGATCACTTGAGGTCAGGAGTTCGAGACCAGCCTGGCCAACATGATGAAACCTTGTCTCTACTGAAAATAAAAAAATTAGCTGGGGATGGTGGCGCATTCCTATAATCTACTCTGGAGGCTGAGGCATGAGAATTGCTTGAACTCAGGAGACAGAGTTTGCAGTGAGCTGAGATCATGCCACTGCACTCCAGCCTGGGCAACAGAGTGAGACTCTGTCTCCAAAAATAAATAAATAAATAAACAAGAAGAAGGAGAAGAAAACTCAGACTCAGAGAGAGAGTGGAGAAAACTCCAAGTTCAGCTGTCCACCGCCCACCTTTCAGGAATTCCTTTTAGACTGCCCCCTAACCAGGTCCTGTTTGCTCCCCTGCACCCTCGAGGCCCCTCTTCCTAAAACTAGCCAGCTCTGACCATGAACAAGTGCTTCCTTGAAGCTTCCAGAAACTGCCTCCCTGGGGCTTCCACCCACGGAGCCATGGAACACGGCCTCCTCGATCCTCCCTCTGCCCACGCAACCCTGTGGAGGGTGAAACCCTGCCAGGCCTCTGCAGGCTGGTCTCTGGGTCAGGCTGGTCCCTGGTTCAAGCGGGTCCCTGGGTCAAGCTGGTCATTCTTCCCACCACCTTCTGAACTCTCTGCCTTACTGTCTCTTCCCATACAGTCACTTCCCTGGGACACTCAGTCCCTGTAATCTGCTTCCCTCCAGGGAACCCCTGGAACTGGGGGGTCTTTGAAGATGAAAACACTGTCCCAGTTCAAGCCTCAGGGCTTTTCCTCTACCAAATGGGGAAATCTAGAAGCTCTCCTGGTACTGAGCCAACCCTCCATCTCCCTCCATCTCCCTCTATTTCCCTCCATCTCCCTCCCTCCATCTCCCTCCCTTCTTCCATCTCCTTCCCTCCTCTGTCTCCCTCCCTCCTCCATCTCCCTCCCTCCTCCATCTCCCTCCCTCCTCCATCTCCCTCCCTCCTCTATCTCCCTCCTCCCCTCCATCTCCTCCTCCTTCTCTCTCTCCTCCCTCCTCCATTTCCTCCCTCTCCCTTCCTTCTTCCTCCCTCCCTCCCTCCATCTCCCTCCCTTCCTCCATCTCCTTCCTCCATCTCTTCCTCCTCTGTCTCCTCCTCCTCCATCTCCCTCCCTCCTCCATCTCCCTCCTCTCTATCTCCTCTCCCATTTCCTCCTCTCTTCCTTCCTCCCTTCCTCCATCTCCCTCCCTTCCTCCATCTCCTTCCCTCCATCTCCTTCCTCTCTGCTTCCTCTCTCCATCCCTCCTCTCCATCTCCTCCTCTATCTCCCTCCTCCATTTCTCCCTCCCTTCCTCCTCCTCCCTCCATCTCCCTCCCCTTTCTCCATCTCCTTCTCTCTCCATCTCCCTCTCCTCCATCTCCTTCCCTCTCATTCTCCCTCCCTTCCTTCCTTTCCTCTATCTCTCCACTTCCCTCCATTTCCTCCATCTCCTCCCCTCCTCCATCTCCCCTCCCTCCATCTCCCTCCCTCCATCTTCCTCCTCTCCATCTCCTCCCTCCATCTCCTCCCTCCCTCCTCCATCTCCTCCTTCCTCCATCTTTCCTCCATCTCCCTCCCCTCCTCCATCTCTCCTCCTCCATTCTCCTCTCCATCTCCTTCCTCTCCTCTATCTCCCTCCCTCCCTCCATCTCCTCCCTCCCATCCTTCCTTTCCTCCCTCCCCTCCATCTCCTCCCTCTCCCTCCCTCTCCATCTCTCTCTCTCCCATCTCCTCTCTCCCTCCCACCTCTCCCTCCTCCCCTTCCTCTTTCTTTCTTCCTCCCTCCTCTCCCTCCCTCCCTCCTTCCAACAAGGTCTCACTCTGTCTCTATGAGTGGAGTGCAGTGGCACGATCATGTCTTCACTGGAGCTCAACCTCCTGGCTGGGAAGTGATCCTCCCACTTCAGCCTCCCCAGTAGCTGGGAATAGAATGTGTATCACACCCTATTGATCAAAAAATTTTTTGGCCAGGCATGATGACTCACACCTGTAATCTCAGCACTTTGGGAGGGCAAGGCAGGCGGATCACCTGAGATTAGGAGTTTGAGACCAGCCTGGCCAACATGGTGAAATCTCTACTAAAAATACAAAAAATGAGCTGGACGTGGTGGGCGCCTGTAATCCCAGCTACTCAGGAGGCTGAGGCGAGATCTTGAACCCGGCAGAGGTTGCAGTGAGCTGAGATTGCCACTGCACTCCAGCCTGGGCAATAAGAGCAAGATTCCTTCTTAAAAAAAAAAAAAAAAAATCTTTTTTTTTTTTTTTTTTTTTTTTTTGGTGAGACGGGTTCTCATGTTGCCCAGGTTGGTCTCCAACTCCTGGGCTCAAGAACCCCTTGGATGAGAACCTTGGCCTCCTAAAGTGTTGGGCTTACAGGCAGGAGCCACTGTGCCCAGCCAGAGAGATTTATTGTTAATATATTAATATTTGGGTGTTTGGGAAGAAAAGACAGACCTCTGTACCCCAGCTATCCCTGACTGTCGTTAAATCAGCCTTGAGTCAGCCTCTTAGGGGGGCAGGTTTTGGGCTGCGCTCTGTCCCTTACCTTGCCAGCTCCCCAGAACCTCTCCTCTTTGGTCACACATGGTCAGGAGTGGGCGTTGGAAGTGAGGCCCCCCCAAGTAGACTGATGTGTAGTATATAATGAGAAGTCAAAGTTGGGGGTGGGTGGGGAATGGGAGACCCGTAAAAGGAGGAGTGCCGGCATTTGGTGTACCAGGACCTCAGATGCCCTGTCCCAGGCAGTCGCGTGACATTTGGGGAGGGAGGGAGAAGGGACGGGAATTTGAACTTTCCACACGGGTCCGGCGCCCTGGCCGATCGGGTTGCAACATGACCTGGGCCCGGGGCCAGAGCTTGTGGGCCAAGGTTACTCCGCCTCCAGCCAATGGGGTCGCAGCTAGGCGGCCGCGGTTGGGGGCAGGCAATACTCCCCCGACAGTCCCCACCCCAGCTCCCGCTCCCCCGCAGGGCGGCAGGTGCCGATCCGTAGCCAGCGGTTCTCAGAAGGGGAGGAGGCGCCGCGGAGGAAGAGGAATATTTGCACAGAGAAAAGATCAAGGCCGGCCGATCCCCCTTTCTCCCCTACGGGTTTTCGGTTGATAATTTATACTGGCCCCTCCGCTCCGGGGAACTTTGCTCCAGGGCACTGGGCCAGGCCTCGGGTTCGCGCCCTCCTCTGGGACGCGGGGCGTGGAGCGGAAGCGGGGCGCGGCCTGTGAGCTCTCTGAGGCGCTAAGCGGGGGTCCCAGGCAGCGACGGGCGCTCAGCCTAGAGTGGCGACGCGGGTAGGCGAACCCAGGCCTCCCGGGCACCGGCGTAACCTCAGCGAGCTGCGCCTCTTGGACCTTTCTGGGATGTCCTCCTCCCGCCACCCTTGACGTAGCAGATCAAGAAGAGGTGTCTCAGCAATTGCGGGGAGTTGGACGAGAGAGTGGGCCAGTTTCAGTCCACTTTGGTTATGAACTGAGACAATCAGGGGAGCTGGGAGTATCTCAGGGTCCAGGAATAGGGCGGGCCTGGGCCGGGGCTGCTGGGGAGAAGGCCGAGGCCTGCAGGGGGTCGGGTGGAGTGGCTCCAGAGTGGAGAGTGGGGATGGGCGCGGGTGGCCTAGGGACCTAGAACTCCTGGCATTTTTGGAGGGACAGAGGGGCGGGGACCAGAGAAAGGGGACCAGCGGTCCAGGTAGAGGCGGGGCGCAGGCGGTCTGCGCCTCGAGGAAGAGGGGATGGGGGAGGAATGGGAATCAGAAAAGCGCGGGTCCGTCGGGGGCCAGCGTGCTGGGCGGCGATAGGAGGACCTCGGGGCTGGGAGAAAGGGGATGTTCGGGGCGTGATCGGAGCCTCCGGGAGCCGCAGGACCGGGTTTGGGTGGGGTGTTGAGGGCCCCAGCGCGCAGTCCTGCCCCAGACCCCCCAATCCCATCTGGAGGCCGAGGCCGTCGGGGCCCGAGCCACCCTCACCTGTAGGCCAGGCTCAAGCACTCGAAGAGGCGTGTGAGTGTGGGGTCGATACTGCGAGGCCCGAAGTCGGAGGGCCCCACAGACCCCTCCTGGTCGCGCCGCCGGGGCAGCGAGTCGCTGTGCGGCGACGACACCATGAAGTGACCGCTGTGGATGACCTGCGAGCGGAGCAAGCAGCCCGCGCTGCGCCGGAGACTCGGGTCCTCCGAGTCCGTGTCCGAATCCGAGTCTGGGCTGGGAGCGACCCGCGGGACCTGCAAGCCCGCGGCCAGACCTGCCAGCGCCCCGGCCATGGCTGTCGCCGCCGCCGCCACCGCCTGGTGCGGGCTCCGTGCAGCGCGGGGAACAGCTCGTGGCCAGCCCAGCCTTATTAACATAGCCCCGCCCCCGCCCCATAGGCCGCTCGGATGGGCGGGGCCTGGGACGGGGCGGGTCTTGTATTAGCATAGTCCTTGCGGCAGGTGAGAACCTGGTGCCCTGGAGCTCCGGCGGGTGGGCCCCATCTCCCTTCCTGTCTCTCCTTGGAGTCCTAACAGAGCCTCCCCTAGTTTGCTCCAAAGGGATCTTAAGAAGTGTCAGGCCGGGCCCCAGGGGCCCATGCTTGTAATCCTAGCACTTTAGGAGGCCAAGGTGGGAGGATGGCTTGAGGTCAGAAGTTCGAGACCAGCCTGAGCAATATGGTAAGACCCCTATCTCTACCAAAAAAATGCAAAACTTAGCCGGGCATAGTGGAGAGAGCCTGTAATACCAGCTACTGGGGATGCTGAGGTGGAGGATCCCTTGATCCCAGGAGTTCGACAACATGGCAAAACCCTGTCTCTACAAAACATACAAAAATTATGTTGCAAAAAACAGGTGCAGGCATGGTGGCATGCATCTGTAGTCCCAGCTACTTGGAAGGCTGAAGTGGGAGGATCGCTTGAGACCAAGAGGTTGAGGCTGCAGTGAGCGGAGATCGCGCCACTGCACTCCAGCCTGGATGACAGAGAATCTGTTTCAACAACGAAAAGGTCCCCTATCACAACTGAGCCTGAAAGCGCCTCAGGACCTGGGGTTTGTGCTTTCAGGGGCACCCTCTTGTGAGGCCAGAGATCACCATCCCCCCTCACTTAACTCCTGCCCTCCACCTCCGCCCCCCCGACCCCATATTAGCTCCTCGGCGTCCTCCATACAGCTGGAAGCCCCCACCTCTCAGGGGCCTGATGTGGTAAGCGCCAGGCAAGGCCCCTGAAGGGCCTGGCCCGCAGGAGGTTGTTAATACCTCTAGTTAACATGGTGGCCTGACGCGGTGGCTCTCCCCTGCAATCCCAGCACTTTGGGAGGCCTAGGTGGGTGGATCACGAGGTCAGGAGATCGAGACCATCCTGGCTAACACGGTGAAACCCCGTCTCTACTAAAAATACAAAAAATTAGCCGGGTGAGGTGGTGGGCGCCTGTAGTCCCAGCTACTAGGGAGGCTGAGGCAGGAGAATGGCATGAACCCGGGAGGCGGATCTTGCAGTGAGCCGAGATCCCGCCACTGCACTCCAGCCTGGGCTACAGAGCGAGACTCAGTCTCAAAAAAATAAAAATAAAAATAAAATAAATAAATAAATAAATAAAATACTTAAGAAAAAATATATATTAAAAAAATTGTGATCATTAATTCAGCTGCACAGAGATGCCCAAGGGGAGCCTCGAGGGACTGTTACTGGTGGGGGTGTGTGGCTCACTGGAAGGTGGACATCCCCCAGGCTGGCATCTACCCAGGAGCTCTGATCCCTTTCTCTCACTGACATTGAAGTCCAGCTTTTCTTCCTGCTTCTTTGTATTTTTATTTATTTATATATTTTACTTATTTATTTATTTTGAGATGGAGGCTCACTCTGTCGCCCAGGCTGGAGTGCAATGGCATGATCTCGGCTCACTGCAATCTCTGCCTCCCGGGTTCAAGTGATTCTCCTGCCTCAGCCTCCTGAGTAGTTGGGATTACAAGTGCGCGGCACCATGCCCAGCTAATTTTTTTTTTTTTTTTTTTTTTTTGACATGGAGTCTCGCTCTGTCATCCAGGCTGGAATGCAGCGGTGCATCTCCTCTCACAGCAAGCTGCACCTCGTGGGTTCCCACCATTCTCCTTCCTCAGCCTCCCGAGTAGCTGGGACTACAGGAGCTCGCCACCATGCCTGGCTAATTTTTTTGCGTTTTTAGTAGAGACGGGGTTTCACCGTGTTAGCCAGGATGGTCTCAATCTCCTGACCTCATGATCCACCTGCCTCGGCCTCCCAATGCCCAGCTAATTTTTGTATTTTTAGTAGAGACGAGGTTTTGCTATGCTGGCCAGGCTGGTCTCAAACTCCTGACCTTAAAGTGATTCACCCACCTCGGATTCTCAAAGTGCTGGGATTACAGGCATGCGCCACCATGCCTTGCCTATTTACATATTTTTAGAGACAGGGCCTCGCTCTGTCACCCAGGCTGGAGTGCAGAGGCACAGTCATAGCTCACTGCAGCCTCAAACTCCTTGGCCAAAGCGATCCTCCCACCTCAGCCTCCCCAGTAGCTGGGACTACAGGCTCATGCCAGCACACCTGGCTAACTTTTTTTTGTAAAGATGAAATCTGTTGCCCAACCTGGTCTCGAATTCTTGGCCTCAAGTGGTCCTCCTGCTTCAGCCTCCCAAAGTTTTGGGATTACTAGGGTGAGCCACTGTACATGGCCTGTTTCTGCTTCTGAAGGCTCTTTTCTCACCTTGAGGACAGAAACCAGACTGAGGCATTCACACCGGCCACCTCATTGGAGGCTTTAACAGCCTCAAAGATGGGTTCCGAGGCACAGGAGAGTAAAAACACGCCCAAGCATCTCCGAGGGGCAGCAGCAAAGCCCGGTCTAGTAGATTTCCAGACTTCTCCCCAAGGATGTCCCTACTTGGTGCGGACGAGAGAGTTTCAGGCAGATGCTGAGCTCTGCTGGCTTTCTGACAGGTATCTTATTCGTGGTCATGTTAGGGAGAGGGGAGGAGGTGGTCACCCACGTGTTGCAGCCTTGGAAAAGGTTGACACACAGCACTTTTCTTCCAGCCCACGGGAGGATCACACAGCACCCAGGATCACAACGGCAGTGCCCTGAGGGCCCAAGCCACCGGCTGTGGGAGGAAAGTGATTATCCGAGGCTGCTCACAGGCCAGCCCCTCCACCCGCCTCCCTTGGCCGGGTATCTTCTGTCTCTGCCAAATGGTCATATCACATTCCCAGGAGCCCCAGCCGTTCTGCTCCTTCCTCCCTGCTGCCCTCTGTAGGATGTGCATTCTCTTTGCCCATCCCTGCCAGGTTAAGAAAGGGGGTTCTGATGCTCACCCCAGTCTCCCTCCTTTGGAGGGGCTCTGCGCTGCTTCAGAGAGCCATCTCCAAGTGGCCCCCCCTCTGTTTTTGAGCCAGTCTCACTCTGTCACCCAGGCTGGAGTGAAGTGGCGTGATCTCGGCTCACAGCAACCTCCGCCTCCTGGGTTCAAGCGATTCTCTTGCCTCAGACTCCCAAGTAGCTGAGCTTACAGGCTTGGGCCACCACGCCCAACTAATTTTTGTATTTTTAGTGGAGATGGGGTTTCACCATGTTGGCCAGGCTGGTCTTGATTTCCTGACCTCAAGTGATCCACCTGCCTCAGCCTCCGAAAGTGCTGGGATTACAGGCGTGAGCCACCGTGGCCAGCTGTCAGGTGGCGGTTAACCGTCTTTTGAGGCCCTTGGTACACAGGCTGACAGGATCATCGCTTATCCCTGTGTGCCTGTCTGGCTCCTCCCCCACCCCCAACAGGCCACTGAGGCAAGACTGTGTCCTGACATCTCTGAATCCCCACCCCGGGGTACCCAGAGACTTGGCGGATGCTTGAAGAAAGGGGCATGAGGCTAAGAGGAGCGGGTGGGTGCTGTGGAGGGGGGGTGTTGGATAGGTTGGAGGCCCTCTCCTCTCGATTGGGGCCGCCTGGCTCCGGGCACCCTGGCTCAGGTGAAGACCCAAATTGATCCTTGCTCTGCTGCTAATTCCATGAATAACCCTGGGCAAATCTCTGTCTCTCTGTCTTACTGGGGATCTGTCTCACTACTTGTAAAATGGGGAGGCCAAACTCAGTGTTTTCTTTCTTTCTTCTCCTTGTTGCTATTGTAAAGATGAGGTCTCACTATATTGCCCAGGCTGGTCTCGAGCATCTCGGCCTCCCAAAGTGCTGAGACTACAGGCATGAGCCGCCGCGCCTGGCCTGAATTCAGTGATTTGTTGGGGATCCTGCAATCTTGGCTCCAAGTCTCTGCTGGCCGTGTCTCCAGATCACACCATCGTACTCTTCCCATGCTCTGAAAACATCAGAGTTGTCTCCTGCGGTTTCAGAGACGTTCCTCTGAGCTGGATCTGAGTGGGTGGGAGGATTGTGAGTGAATTCTCTCCTTCACCCAACATCCCTCCTTCCCCAGCCATGAATTTCCCCCTCAACAGGCATCTCCATCTCATTTCTGCCCTCCTCCAGGGCTTAAGAACACCTCTAGGCAGGCACGGTGGCTCATGCCTGTAATCTCAGCACTTTGGGAGGCCGAGGCGGGCGGATCACGACGTCAGGAAATCGAGACCATCCTGGCTAACACAGTGAAACCCCATCTCCACTAAAAATACAAAAAATTAGCCAGGCATGGTGGTGCACACCTGTAATCCCAGCTACTCGGGAGGCTGAGGCAGGAGAATGGCGTGAACCCAGGAGGAGGAGCTTGCAGTGAGCCAAGATCGTGCCACTGTACTCCAGCCTGGGCGACAGAGCGAGACTCTGTCTCAAAAAAAAAAAAAAAAAAAAGAAAAAAAAAAGAAAGAAATAAAATAACACCTCTAGAAGCCTAACTGCTGAAAAGACAAACCCTGCCTGCACAATGCAAAACATCCAAACACCAGAGTGTCCAATAAGTGCAAGGACGTCCACAGATTCTGATTTCTCCTACGTTTAGAGACAGGGTCTCGCCTGGAGTACAGTGGCGCGATCATAGCTCACTGCAGCCTCAAACTCCTGGGCCAAAGTGATCCTCCCACTTCAGCCTCCCAAAGTGTTGGGATTGGAAGAATGAGCCACTTGTAATGGGACCACAGGCACGCACCTCCTGTTCAGGGCACCATTGCCCAGATGATAGCACAGCCATGTACATGTAACCTGGCTCACCCTCTTTCTGCTTCTCCTAGCCTCTGTTACTATAACCAGCAGTTTACAGCCTCTGTACAAACAAGTCTTGTTCATGGTCCATGGACATGCAAGACAAGGTCTTAACTGTGGTAGGAATACCTGGCTGTCCCCAGCCATCCCACCTGACATCACGTCCTCCCTGCCTTCCAGTCTTGGTCCTCAGGACTCTTCACCCAGACTGT